AGTTCTTGCCCAAGCTCCTCCTAAAGCCTATAGTGAGGCTTATGTAAAGGCACAAGCTCTGGTAAGGAATCGGTTTGAGGAAGCCAAACACTGTCTTCAAGAGCATATTCTTGAAGCCATCAGTGTTTTTAAGGACAAAGGAATGACTGACGAGCAGGAATCAGTTAAAGAGGTTTGTCCATTTGTTCAACTGTTTTTTTGCAATTGGCCTATCGCCTGAGCATTTGATCGATAATGAGCAGATTTTTGATTTTTATGTTTTTGTACAACAAAAAAGTGGAGTTTATTCTATACTTTATCTGAATCAAAACAAGATAAAGGTAAAAACTGTATGGTGGTCCATTCTTCCATATAATCCCTTCTTTGTTGGTTTTATTTTTAAATTTAGTTTAGCTGATTTTGATTGGCAGCTCAATAAACCAGATATACAAGTATTTTAATCTGGAACTGAAACTCTGGTATCTCTCTAAGTTGTGATCCAAAAAATGAGTCTTTTCTATTTGGACTGCTACGAAAAAAGCTATCATGTATTTTCACACAGAATCTGTATTCATTGTATATCTAAACCTCACATCTGTAGTCTATGATGAAATCTGACACTATTATGTGCAGAACTGGTTAAAAAGATGCCTTTTCTAATATTAAAAATACAAGGAAGGCTTTGGTGGCTAGAGTGAGCAACGGTTACTAAGAGGGCAGAGCTTAGTGATGGGTCAATTGGAGAGCAACAAAGTTTTAACACATGCCTTTGACTGGATATTTTACTGGTAAAAAAGACACACTTTTGTTAATTTTTTTTTTTTTAAATCAGGAAAGTCTACGGAGTTTAGACCCTGAGCTTCTAGAAGAGTTCTTGAGGGCTGCAGAAGGGATGGAGGCGTTTTGCACCCCATCTGAGCTTAGAGACATGGAATTCTTCACCCAGTCTGTTAGAACACAGTGGAAGGTAATAATGCCGTGCGATTTCTTCGCTGTCATCACTTTAATTAAACAAACTAACAGAAATGCTGCAACTGTTTGGGTGTGTTTTGTTTGTGTGCTCATTGTTGTGTGGTGTTTGCTTCGTTAAACATTTTAGGCAGTTCGAGTGGAGATATCAGTTTTTTTGAAGGAACTCAGCTTAAAATTAACTCGCCTGCATTTTACTCGAATGGTTGACACATGTGAGATGCACTTAAAGATGGGGAAATCTACTTTTAGAGCCGATTCCATATCAGAATCAATTGCAAAGGTAAAGTTACACTTACTAGAGAGCTTGATCAACTTGGTGGAGGGGAACTGTATTTATATTTTTTCCTTTCCTCTTATTTTTTAAAATTTTCATGTGGTTTACGTTTAAACCTCTTTGCACACCTTTACCTAATACATCTTTTCTTGCAATTTTTGAGAATGTGCAAAGTAGAAAAGCAGTGTATAAAAGTGAAAAAAAAGTCAAAAAGTGTAAACAAAAGGCAAAAGTAAATTTTTCTCTTTTCCTACAGGGGTGTTTTTCAACCGAGGGGAGTTTGGCGGAGGCCGGTAAACAATTAGAAGCTCTAAAGGAGCTATGCGATACTCTGAGCCCTGAAGATGCCCATAGACTTGCACAAGCTCAGCTCAGAGAATGCGAGAGACGACTTGCTGCCATCCAGCGGCAGTTCAGTGGAGATGGAGATACACCTGTAACAGACCCTGGGTAATACAGAGAAAGAGCTACCCGGATATAACTTATATTCTCTGCGACAAAATATTTACAGACCTAAAGTAAAACTATTTTTTACCTCATAGACCACAAATGGAACAGACAAAAGAACCACAGACTCAGAAGGTACCATCTGTATCACCAACAGAGAGGCCCACTGAGGTAGTTTATTTAACATAAAACACTATACGTTAAACAAAAAAACATTGTATTTCTGTCTTGATCAATTGATTGTATCTTCGTAATTTAATGAGAAGGTTTTGGAAAATGTGGAAATTGTTACAGGCTGTTGGACCAGTTAGCCCCCAGCGACCGAGAACAGTGGAAAAGAGAGAGATAGTCAAACAAACAAGCACAGAAGAGGACAGGTAACGATTGCAAACTTTCATGTTTTTTCAGGTATCTAAGGAGTTTTGTGTCTGAATCTTCTGGTTACATCATCTTCTTAGGTATCGCAGCTCCAGATTTGCATTGCAGGCTCAGCTGAATAGAAATGAACAATGCATGCTAGGAGATCGCCCCTCAGAATCAGTCTCTCCGACCGACTTGCAGAAACGACTGAGAGAGTTAAAGGTATATCTCACAATTTTCACTAACACAACTGTAATAGAAAAAAAAAACATTTTATATCTTTTGTCTGAATAATTTCTGAGATTACATCACAACCAGGAATGTAGAAGCTTTTTAAACGAAGTTCCTCAGACAATTGGTCTCTTTTCTTGCTATGGGCTCTTAAAGAGGCTCTCTTTCCCTAAATGCAGCTTGGTATTTAGCTCTTAGCATCTTCAGTATTTACGTATTTTCTGATAAATCTTCAGTAACAATACGTATATAGCTTCTTAAGGAGATACTATCATAGTAGGTGATTTAATCTGTCCTCTACAATATTTTATGTTATGTCTCATGTTTTTTCTTGGTCTTAGTCTCTGTGGGATGAGACAGAGTCGCTGTGGAAAGAGTATGAAATGTTGTGCATACAGTGCGTTCAGTATAATGAGCGAGGGGTTGAGCAGGACCGGATGGAGCTCACAGTCAGGTGGAGAGAGCAGAGGACACAACTACAGGGCAGGTGTGTTTCTATTGTTCATGGAGGTTTAATTAGAGATCACATTAAAATCATAAAGCATTATCGTTTTGAATATTAATTCATTGTCCAGAAGTGTTAAATTGATCTCTGTTTGTAAATTACGAAGATTTGCATATTTATGCAGACCTTAGCCGTCTGTTGTTGAGCACGATAAACAAACCTTCCAAGATGCAAGAAGTTCATCAAAGGTCATAAAATGTTGCCGTATAACATTGGTTATATAGTATTCAGAACATTTGCAGCATTTCATTAAAGGCAGTTCAATATTCAGAATAGAGGCAGAAGAAGTCTCTCAGATTGTCATTTTCGCTAAAAAACAGAAAGGAGATAAAAATGAATCAAATTTTCACAATGAAAAGAATTTCACGATGACGATTACTAGTTAAGTACAGTGAATCTGTGTTACATTACATGAATAAACAAGTCATGTCTTAATTTACATTTTATGTCTTTATTTACATTTTTTATCATTATGGTTTTATATGACTTGTTTTTATGCCTTTTATGTACTTTAACCATATTTTTTCATGTCCATATTTATTCTATGCTTTGTTTTTACTGCATTAATCCTCTTTAAAGCACTTTGATTTGCCCTGTGTACAAACGTGCGGTAAAAATGAACTTGCCATGCACCAACAAAAGAATATAGTCAAAATTATCCTGGTTTAAAAAATAATCTAGAGTAAATTTAAAAAGTTTTATCTTCCAAACTCATAAATAATCTAAGATAAAATGTTGTTTATACTCATATTGCAAAAAGTTCTTGCTCATTCTGGCACTGAGGATCTCCTGATAATCGCCCATCATGGGAGTAAATCCACTTGATAGTTTCATCTCAGCACTTGCATCCTTCTATTTGTAATTTGTAATTTTAGTTCTATTTGTTCCTATGTTTGCATAGATCAAGTTCTTCTTAGTTTCTAAGTTCATGATCTCTGTGATGACAAACATGAAGAATTTTTCTGTTGCCAGATTGTATATAGTACAGGTATGTGTGCCTTGTCCTAAATAAGTGTTTTTTATGCCAGGGTGGATTCTTTGGGATCTGCTCTTGAACTCATGGATTCCATTAAGCTGAAGATCTCTGAAATTTCTGAAAGACTTGAAAAGTTCATCAAAGAACCCAAAGATATTAAGGGATATGCTCTAGTTAACCCTGCAATTCTACGAGATGTGAAGGTGAGGAAAAAACTCTAGTCTAAATCTATATTAAAGTAGATTTTTACTAAACAAATAATCTTTGTGATAAGTAATATAGAGTGAAACAAGTACACAAATATTGTTTCATGTTAGTTTTTGGTTTATATAATGAATAAACTCTTAAGTTTGAAGGTGTTTCAGTTCAAATGCATCGTTGTTTCTCTACAACATATTTCCTTTTTTTCAGGACCTAGATGAAAGCATCCAAACAGAGATGGACCGACTTTCCCGTTTTGACTCTGAGCCTAGTCATCTTGACCTGCGCGATCGGTCCCCTCTGACTCAGGTGGTTCTGAAGCACCGATCTAGTTTGGACCGGCTCCGGCAGCAGGTACGCAAGAGTGACGCAGCTGCCCGTGCGCTGGATCGCTTCCTTATGTCTCTGCGTACAGTGGAGCTAGATGTCTCATCTGTACTCAGCGCTCCCAGCAGTGAGTCGCTGGTATTGCAGGACAGCAGATCCAAGCTGACTCTCATCAGGAAGGGGGTAAGCAGCCTTCAGGATAAAGCTCCACAGCTGGATCAGTTGTTGGGTGGAGCACAACTGGAGGTGACCCAAGACAAAAGCCCTATTTCGTGTCTGGACATGGTGAGCGTGTTGGTTCGCAGAGTGGAAGAGGTGGATGATCATTTGATGATTCGGCAGAGTGAGATCCAGCAGGAACAGCATAACAAGGGTTTCGGGGTGAGGAGAAAGAATCTGCAGGCAGAGCTGAGAAAAGTGCTGGGGACCGCTGAAAAACAAGGTCTGAAGGATCCCACCATGCCTGCTGTGCAGCACAGGTACGAGGGTTTCTTCCCCAAAAACATCATAATGCAGGATTATATTTCCATTCAGCTGTAATGATTTATTAATGGGGTTTTATGCTTGGGAGTTTGAAGACCTTTCCACTGTTTTCGTCTTTATATCCTGATTTGACACAGGTTTATAAATAAAGTATAACTAGTACAATTTACAATTATGCATTTGGCAGACGCTTTTATGCAAAGCGACTTACATTTGAAAGAATAAACCCATTTTTTGTCAGTTCTTGCTTTTCCTTAGATTTGATCCAATTACCTTTGCGTTGTTAGCGCATTGCTCTACCAACTGAGCCACAGGAAAGCTAGTACTATTAACTAGTACTATTACTATTTTGTAACTGGTTAGAGTAAGCTTTATGAAACACTTTATGGCACCCATTTTTTGGAGCATTTTGGAATCACAAAAAAAAACCTGGCCGAAAATGACATACATTTTTAAAATGTGCATAAAAAAAATATGCAGAGTAGGATAAACTTTTTATCCGATTAAAAAATGTGCATTTACTACATTGGAAAGCATTTACCAAATAAATCCTATTGCAATGTTATGCTAATGTATTTTTCTGTTGGCACTGGGGTGCAATGGGGCATCAATAATGGACTAACCATTGGTACGATTTCTGAAATGTTGTTTTGGTCATTTTAAAAGTCTGTCATCAAAGTGGTTCTGAATAATCACCTCCAAGAAGTGTCTTGACCGGCTGCGTTCCGAAAGAACAGTCTCCCTCCTCCAAAAGCAAGATAACATGACTGCGTTTATTGCGTTTTGTCTATGTATTCTAAGATGCAAGTAAGTTATTATATATATATATGAAAAAAGACCTTCTCTTAACTCAGCAACTTCCATTTTTCTTTTGATATTTTCTCCCAGTTTATCAGAAAGTGGCGATTTTGTTGTCTTGGACTCGTTTAATGTAAGCGGTGCTTTATTTGGAAGGTGCGCCGGACATATACGGTTGTGCAGGGCGACGCAGGTTCGAGTCCAGAACCCATCGTCATTTCCCATCCTTCTCCCTCGCTCCAACCAACTTTCTTCCTGCCTAGCTACTCTCCTATCTGTTCAAAATATCAGCTTCATCTTTGTATGCAAACGTGGCTGCTGTCTGTGTCCAACACACCAGTCGCAGTTCATGACACAAGACACAGTGAAATGTTATTTATCAAAATGTTGATGAAAAACATCACACATCCAGATGTCTATTCATCAGATAGGGAGTTACACGCTGGTAAAAATGGTTTTCTGCTCCAAATCGTTCCCTGCCATGCAGTGTAAAACCTCCATTACCGTAAATAGAAAGTTGGAACTGGAAGTCTAAGTGTTCTTCTCTCTCTCTTCTGACACATCATCTGTATCTGTGTTCAGGATTCGAGCACTGTCTGATTTGGAATCACAGCTGAACTCACTTCGTCCTGAATATCAAAGCATTAGAAAAGCTATGTCTGAAGATTCTGAGAACTCTGATACAGGAGAAGAAGAGTTGGGCTTCCTTTGGGACGAAACAGAGAGAGCTATAACTGACAGGTTGGTCTTCGAAAATGAAGAGAGTTATCCATTTGAACAAGTGTTCATTGGTAAAGAATTCAAACCGGACATGTGTTATCATACAGGCTAGATCAGTGCAATGTTCTTCTGGACCTGCTGAAGAAGTTTCAGAGCTGTCGGAGTTACATTGGCAACACTCTCCAGAGGGCGGAGCAAACTATTAATGAGCAGGCATCATACATGGGGAAAGAGAACCTGCAACGCCTCATAGCAAAGGTACGCCAGCAATGCCCTTCAAAGACAATTTGAATTTATCACCCGGTAATCCTCATACTATTTTTGTCCAGACATTCATCACCAGGGTTCAGTCTTGAAAAAATGTTTATATTTTAGATTTCTTTCGATCACTCTGCGATTCATTCTTTTTTCACCAGGATTGAAATTGGGTTTGCAGAGCTTAATGGTTTTCAAGGTTCTAAAGTGCCTTCTATCAGTGGTAACCGCTAACTGTAAAAGCTCAAATTCTCCACAGTATATTGCAATCTGGTTTGTGTTATTTGTATTAACATCTTTTTGTATACCGCACTTTGTAAACATTAAGGGAATTGCTTCCATAATATGCAATATTATTTAAGTATGTCAGTTGCACGGCACGGTGGCGCAGTGGGTAGCACTGGCCTTCCAGTTAGAAGGTTGTCGGTTCAAGGCTCGCCGGTGACCTTCCTGTCTGAGAAAGGAGTTTGCATGTTCTCCCTGTGCTTGCTTGGGTTTCCTCTGGTTACTTCGGTTTCCCCCACAATCCCAAAAACATGCGGTTAGGTTAATTGAATTATCTAAATTCCTCTTAAATGTAAATGTGTGAGAGAATGTTGCCCTGTGATGGACTAGCCACCTGTCCACGGTGTACCCCCGCCTCTCGCCCAATGTTTGCCCAATACATTACTTTTGTACGTCATTACTCCCATTACTGGTCTAAAAATTCAGAAAGTGTTATTTGTAAGATTTTTATTGTAAATTTCTTTTATACTGCTTTAGTGTTAGCAGTCATGCAGAAAACATGCAGAAGGAAGACAAACTAGGCCTCAACACAAAAATAATTCGCAAGGGAGACAAAAAATGCAATACCATTGTGTTTTGTTTTTGTTCCAAATTATTACACGTTTTAAGTAACGCTTTTATATGTTTAAAATGTTTGTATGTTTTATATGTTTAAAAAAGTGCACATGTCAGTTTATCCACCCAGGAGCTCAATTTACCACTTATTTGTTTTTTTTTGTTTGTTTTTTTGTGGGGGGGTCATCACATAATTTTTCCAGTTTCCAGTTAACAACAGTTATTTTTTCATTTGTCATTGACGCCTACTTGTTATTTCTATTGATAGGAGACACCCTGGACTATTTTTGTTTTTATGCTATAACATTTTTCCTTGCCATGAAGACAAAAGTATAGAACTATAAAGGGGTTCAGTTTACCCCAACTGTAAGTCCATGAAAAGGCTTTATGTTCCTGTGAAATCTTTTACAAGGTTTATATTTTAGGTCATTGACATTAAAGAAGATCTCAGTGGCCTCGGACCCAAAATGGAGGAGTTCAGATCTGTGTGCAGACTGTTGCAGTCTCAGCTGAAGACAATTCCAGACTGCTCTGAAATTCCTTTTGAGACCGAGGCAGATGCTTTGGTGGACACATGGCTAGACGTGAGGGAATATGAAAGCCAGCTGCTAAATTCTTATTCTGTCATTTGCTCAATCTGTTTGTCTCACTGGCAGGTGTCAGAGAAGACAGACAGTTATCTGGATAACCTTCGAGTGGGTCTGGAGCTGTGGGAGAAGCAGCTGGTCCTGGGTGGAGAAGTAGACAGCTGGGCTTCTGATAAACTCATGAACTTCTCCGAGTCTCACCCATTCAACTCCGAGGAGGATGTTCTCAGCATGAAGGTCTCAAAAGTGTTCAAATGCGTGATCACAAGACTATCATTTTTATTTCATGAAGTATTTTATCCATTTCCTAGAATGAGATTGAGTCCCAGGAGGACAATCTTGAAAATTTTCACAGGAAGTTACTAGAGATCCAGGAACTGCTGCAAAGCAAAGAATCCCCTCTAGAGTTACAGGTCAGTGTGAAGCTTGCTTATGCCCTTCACTTTCAGAATGTTCTAACCAAAATTTTCACACAAACTATCTCTTCCATAGGTGATGGAAACAAACCTCAGCAAGAAAATGGAGCAGGTGAAGGAACTCTTCACAGACTGTACTGACGTCTTCAAGGAAGTCCTCAAAGTTAAATCACATCTCATTGAAAAGATTGATAGCTATCAGTCATCTGTGGAAAACATACGCTCCATGGTAGATGTGGTTAGTTCAGACGACCGCACACAGTTGGAGGCCCATCTACAGGTATGATGGCATGAAAAGTGACATGCGAAAAGTGGACAGTTTTACACCAATCAATGTTTTTCAATAGCGCATTAAAAATAGTGGTGTACAGAGTCCAATAAGTGCAAGGAATAATTTCAACAAAATACTTCTACTATGCTATATTCATTGAAGAGCCAGGGCCTCGTCTATGATCCTATTCCAGCTCCCTGTCTAGCCCCATCACCATCTCTTCACACCAAGCTTTCTTATATCATCTGCATTATGCAGCAATCTCTTACGAGGTCAACCAGCTCTTTTCCTGAAGTTTTCCACAGCACTCTCTGCAGGCATTCTCTCCACACGGCCTAGTATCTCAGTTGGGTTTATTTCACCACCAAGATTTTTGTGCGCAAAGGAAAGAATGCACATATTCCTTTTCTGATCAGTCCTGAAAAAAGTTTTTGTAATTTATTTATTTTATTTTTTTTGATTTTGTTACAAAAAAATTTGGGTTTCGGAACAAATAATTATTGGTGGTGGTTGGTTAGTTCCAAGTACAATAAAACCATGGTAAATAAAATGAAAGCAGGGTCCTAAAATAAAAGCAGGGTCTGTTTAGTTTTGCTCTGAACTTTGACATGTCTGTCACAATTAATTGACAGTATTGCAAAGGAACAAAAACACTACTTTTGGGACTATGCCAGGTGGATCCGGTATTGTTTCCATAACCAGTGGAGTTGGCGAATTGGAGACAGAACAGAGAAGCTTGGTTGACTCTAACATAGAGAGCATTTGAACTAATTAAAGTGTTAATGGCTTTCTGTGGGTAATTGTGGCTCCTCAAGGTCACTAAATTAAGAACAATAGAAGCAAATCAAGAAATAAAAGAGCATAAATTTTTTAGATTTTTTAGACTTGTAGACTCACTAATATTTATTTACAAAATATACTTATGTTGTATATTAAAGCTTTAAACAGAAATATTTTGACATGCAAAATTACAAATCTATCAAGCAATGGAAGTTTTACATTTATATATTTATATATAAAAGTTTTATTTTCTCTCATAGAATTTTAAGCATTAAAAACACATTGACAACAATCTAAAACGTTCCTTGTTTTTGGTGCCCATGCATTTCGTAGATGCTTTTATACAAATCACCATAAAGACAGGTGAAACCACCATTACAGTAAAGCGAATGGTTTTAATAATAAAGTCACAGGAAAAAAATACTGTTTTTAAACACATATAATAATAATAGTAAGATATTTTATTCTTCTGAGCACTGAATGACTCTGAAGAGATGCTGAAAATACAAAAGTTACACAAGATTTGATACAAAAAACGTAAACCATTTGATTGTTGCATAGTCAGCGAATAGTAATATATTGGGTACTTTGTTTAATTGATTCCTAAGCTTCCTAAAACTCATTGGAGCATTTAAAAAAATACCCAAAGCAGA